GGGGGGGGTCTGCCTGGTTGTGGAGTGGGGAGTCCTGTGGGTGGGGTCCGCCTGGTGGACTGTGTCCTCTTTTTCCTGTTGTACCCATTATCGAGTGAGGTATCCAACATCACCCGCCCTTCACTTCCATGCTTTGGCTTCGTACGTCCTTAGGACTGACCCTTGGACACGTGGATCTTCATAGCTGCTCTATGTCCTTCCTCACTGAACCTTGTTTCAGTACCAAGGTCCTGTCTTTTACGATCTCCTTGATTCGAGTCCTAATTTGTCTTGTATCAGCATGGCCACCTCTTTCTCAGAGACCACCTGCATGGAATGTCTCTTTCACGCTTTTACTGTAATCTATTTGTCCTCAGAACTAAAGAGAGGAATCTGATGGACAACATAGACTGATCTTGCATCTTATCCGTCTGCCAGTCTGTCCTGGGGGAAGTGACTACTCATCATCATCTTCTAATGGTTTACCCTTTAGGCTTTTCTCGTCCCGCATTTCTCGAACCGCTGTCTTCGCGTTTAGTTGATTTTTCTGGTTGAGAATATTCGAGCCCCTTCCTTATTTCCTGGGTGGATACACTGTAGAACTGTTCTGTGCAGCTGCCATGGTGGCACCATTTGGCATCTGAACGTTGTGACCCATTCATGGATACAGGCTCGCCTCCCACAGCCTATGAAATGGCTCCTTACAGCTGTCCCACACCTTTGGGTTTGATACTGGGAGATCATCTCAATACGTCGTGTGCACAAAAACAAATTTTTCTTTTAAACACATTAGTCTCTTAAATTATGTAGAAAACAAACCAACATTGCAGTCCCAGCTTTTGTAACTGCCACATCCTTACGTCCACTGAGCTCCTGACTCCATCTGGCATCAGGTTACCCTCTGGCTTCCCTTCATTTCACCCTACAGGACTCTTGTGCAGTGACCGCAGGGCAGGCCTGTGGCGGTAAAGCCCTGGGCTTCTATCTGGGAATGATTTAATCTCTCTGTTGAAGGGCCATTTTGCCGACACAGGATTCTTCCAGCATTTTCAGGGTATTTGCCTACTGGCTCATGGCCCCAAGATGACAGATCTCTGCATCATGTTATTAAGGAAGCCTGTGTGTGACACCTGCTGTTTCCAAGACTGTTCGAAAGTCTAACTACAGTACATGGGTTTCTTGGGTTCATCTGACTTAGAATTCCTTAAAACTTCTTGGAGGTTCATAATCCTATCTTTCCATCAAACTGTGTGACGGTCCACCACTATACCCTTGGGTATTCTTTCTGCCCTTCTCTTCTCTTCTGAGTCTCTCAAACTGTGTAGTTTGTCATCTAGGAGTCCCACATCCCTTAGACTTGGCTTTTTTCAACTTTCCTTTGTGTCCCTTTGTCTCTGTGATCTCCACTGTCCTGTCTTCTAGTTTGCTGGTGCCACCTCTGACTCCCTCTAGGGAATTCCCCACTTGAGTTGTTAGACGTCTCAGCCCCAGGATCTCCTCTTGGCTTCTTGCTGGGTTTTCTGCCCCTCTATTGGTGTCTTCCTTTTGTTCATACGTGGTGTTGACTTTCTCCACGTCCTTCCTTGTTCTTTGAGCATCTTCAAGAGAGGGTTTTCAAGTATCTAAGGACCTGTCAAGGTATCTGCCACCACTTCTTTTTCAGAGACCAAGTCTGTTGCTTTCACTTCTTTAAATAGGGCACACTTTCCTGTTTCCTTGTAGCTTTTGTCTTTTTGCTGAAACTAGAAGTTTGAATCCGTTATCATGCAACTGAGAAGCAGAACCCCCCACTCCCCAGGGCTGCTGGGCTCTGAGCTTGCTGTGGACAGTGGTCAGCTGTCTGCAGTGGATCGGCCTGACGATCTTCCCGGGTCTCCTCTGGGCCTGTTTGTGGGCGTACAGTTCTTTCTGCATTTCCTGCGAACACAGAGCTGTGAAATGCCCCAGGCTTCAGTGTCTGACTCCCAAAGGGGAAAGAGAAAAAGGAAGGGGAAGGATGGGAGAAGGAGGGCACCAACCTTCACGTCCCCCGGAAGTCACTTCAGCCAGGGGAGGGACTTGCCCCACAGGCTGCTGCACCACCAGAGCCCGGCCACCTCATCTGTGCCTGTGGTCAGCAGGCAGAGCAGACCCCCGATAAATGGCTGGTTTCTGTCACCCCAGCTCCCACCAGCTATGGATGGGCTCCTCCAGGACACGAGCCCAGCTGCCTGCCGGGTGGTGGGGAAGGCTGCTGGGCTGAGCTGAACGGGACCAGCACTAACTACAATCTGCCTCCCAGCCTGGAAGCTGCAGGCCTTCCAGTGCTCCTGAAGAGTCACATCTGGCCAAGTCTTCTGCAGGAGACCACTGTCCAGGTGGGGAGACGCGGTGCTGCCCCCTGGTGCTCGCCCCAGCTCCGCCAGCTTTCTGGAGTGCTCTCATAATCTTCTTCTTTTAATGAAAGTCAAATCTCAAATCGGCCTCAGCTTCCAAAAAGCAGTCAAGGAACAAATGTCCTCTGCACCACGGACACTCGGGAAGCAGCCCAGGCGCCCACAGGCCGCACCCACCTCAGCCTCTTTCCTGGCCCCGACATTGCTAGGGCGGCAGGGGCGGCAGGGGCAGCAGGGGCCCCGGCTCCTGCCGCTCAGCACCAGGTCCTCAGTGGAGCCCGAACAATCCAGACCACCCCAAACCAGAGACACAGCCTGTTTAAAATGCCCATGCGCGTTTTATTAATAAAAACTAACAGTGCCAAGTTAAACAGGTCAAACAATTAAAGTCTCTCCATATTCCATAAAATATTACAGAAAATTTTATTTGTGTTTCAATAAAAAGACTATTGTTTCAGAACAGGCAGCTAACAGCAACTGTGCAGTTAACGGTTCTCTGTGAATAAATTTTAAAAGAGACTACTGCCTGTCCTTAAATTCCTTTTTCTTTTTATAAAAAAAGAACTATTAAAAATGATTGACAAATTTTGAGTTAAAAAACTGTTAAAACATTCTCTATGTTTAATTTCAACTTTATAATAGATTACAGGAAGATGCTCAGAAACAAATACCACATTTGTTTCAGTACATGTCTTTAAATGATAGACTTATAAGTATGTAAACAACTATAGAATAAAAAGTTTCCAAACGCTGCCTGTAAGAAATCAGGCAAATTTTACCATAAGCAATGAACCTTCCAGACAGTTTCCGAGCTGCACCAGCGTAGCTGTGAACTTACCCAAGAACACACAGAGAAGGAAGGACTTCGGATCTGTGGCTGCAGTAGAGAGGAAGTGTGCGCCGCAGGCCGCGGGGCCGGCGGAGCTCACGGAGAAGCGAGTCGCAAGGTCTCCGCCCTCAGGCCTGTCCTGTGCGCGCTGCGTGTCTGAGAAGGGAGACTTTCTGGGTCTCCTGATGGCGCCCTTGACACTGCAAACAAGCTGCTGGGCACGTCCACGGGGACAGCCAGTGAGCACTGCTGGGCGGGCACAGCACGGCTCAGCGGGCCCAGCGAGCACTGTCGGGCAGGACTGGACTCTGGGCTGAGAAGAAAACACTCCGTGGACGTAAGTGCAGGCGCCGCGTCAGCAGGGGTGGTGGCGTCCGCGGCAGGGTGGGGACCTGGGCAGTCCTTGCTCTTCGATTCCGTGGTTGGCCAGCATCATCTTCTTGGGAGTAGCCAAAAAGAAACACAACCCCACACTAAAGCAGCTTCTCTCCTCTGCGCAGCGTCCCGTGAAGCTGGTGGGGACCTGCAGGGTCAGTCCTCCTCCTCGTTCTCATTGAATTCGTCCTCCTCGTCCTCGTCCTCCCCGACGTAGGACACAGGGGTCTCTACCCGGGAGCCGCTGTACTGAGACCCGTTGGAGCTTGTGGCCAGCATCCCGTCCGCACCATTGCTCAGGTCACTGCAGGGACGGGGCCAAACAGGGCAGTCAGCGGCGTGGCCCATCTGCCCAACCCAAGGACAGGCCACACGTGTCCCCAACAGGCCGAGGTTTTTAAATGATGCAGGAGAAACAAAAGCTCAGGTGTCATGGCAAAGCCTCAACCCCGTCGCAGTGGCACCAGACACCTGTCCCAAAGCGAGGGCGGCTCACAGCCCGCACAACCGATGCCCCAGCACACAGGAGCCAGAGGAGCCCTTCCAGGGCTCGGGAAGGCAGGGGGCGCAGTGGGCCCTGGCCACAGGAGCCATGCTGGAAGCGGCAACCCAGGCTGGGTGGGCTCCGCTGCAGAGCCCGCGCCGGGCAAGCACTCGAAGTGCGTCCGTGTGTAAAAATGTGGTTTTGTGGATCAGAACCCCAAAGCGGGCAGCACCAGAAAACCCAACCCTGGGCTGTGGCTGCCCTACCCCATGGTCGGCCCGGCACACCCTCCGACAGCATGAGCACCACCAGGTCCAACGTGGCCTCTGGGACCAGCACTTCAGTAAGAATCACACCAGCTGTGCTTCGCAGAGCGCCAGCCAGAGCCGAGCAGGACGGGCTGCGAGCACTAGGCACCCCGAGCCCCACCCTTGGGACTGGTTTCCATTTTCTGCAGTTCTCGGGGTTGAGTCCAGGTTGCTCCACCACTGATCCACAACCCAGCCCTCTTTATTCTGACATAGGGTCTCACCACTCTGCCCAGCTGGCCTGAACCTGCCACCCTCCTGCCTCCGCCTCCCGAGCTGGGAGCCCAGATTGGTGTTCTCGTGAAGCAGCTTTAGCTATGCCTCCCTCACTGCTGACCCTGACCAGCCGGGGAAGGCCGACCCATGAAGAGGGCAACCTGAGATAAAACCTGACGCCAGGGTCCAGCTCAAAAGCAACTTTGGCCAGCCATTTTGCAGACTAGCGTTCACGAGGCAGAAATTCAGGATGAAGAGACAGGCCTGCAAGATGCCACCCAAGTCTCTGCTGCACTGCCACCTGACTGACACCACAGCACGTCCCACACCGTGTCACCTGTGCCACAATGGCTTGCCCCACCTGCATGGCCTGCCCTTCTCACCGGTGGCTGCGGAGCACCTATCCGTCACACCACGGACAGGCCAGCACTTATCAGCTCTATCCTGCTTGCTAACTTACCAAGACTCTAAGAAATAGTGTCAGCATCCAGTGACGCGTAAGCCTGCCCTAAAGCCACCACGGGAGGTCTGGGGGAGTCATTTCAAAGTCGGTGAGACCATCCCTAGGCCCTCACTGTGAAGGCTGCCACCCACTCCCCATCAGAGCACTGGACACACACCCAGGGAGGGCCTTCTGCTGTGGGGATGCTGGCCCCAAAGCTAACCACACATTTACTTAAACAATAGAAGTCCTTTAGTAACAGAAAGACACATACTATAAAACGCAAAGTTAAAAAAAAAAAAAAAAAAAAATCAACTGTACACTGGGGTCTCAGATACATGCCAAGAAAATCAAACGGGATCCTGGAAGCCCTGGTCATTGAGGCGGCGGGCATGGGGTCTCCCACTTCCCAGGGCCGCTTGGTCAAAGCAGAGGCCTCCCATTGCTCCTAACTTTGAGGGTGAGAAACCAGGGAGAAAGAAAGCTCTTCTCACGGGGACAAGGTCAGTGGGCTCCCTGGGCTGTGCCCCGGTGGAGGGTCCCGCCCTCACTGCCCCCACCTGCCCCCACCTGCCCCCACCTGGCTCACCTGGCAGAAAGCCTTGTGCCGTTGGAGGTGGAGCCTGCTGTGGTGAGGAACACACCTCCGATGGATCCCTGAGCCATTTCTGCAAAGAGGAGGAAAAGGAGGCCCAGGAAGCAACGCCCAGAGAGCGCAAAGGAGCAAGGACAGAGTGGCGGGTGACGAGGGAAGCCTGCGCCCACACGAGCCCACCCACCACCCCAAGCACCCAGGGCCCCGTGCATGGCCGGCCAGGGCCAGCCATGGGTCAGGTCAGATGGTCACATGCCCTGGGAGAACGATCCCTGACCCCCAGGAGGGAGTCCTACGGGCTGAGGACCACAGGAGGGTGGGCATCTCTGCGCCCACCAAAGCCATCCCCAACGCCTGCAGCCAAAACCCCAAGACTGCAGCAAAGAGGTCACCAGACGGGGACAGAGCAGAGCTGCTCCTCCCCCTGCGCCCCCAACAGGAACAGCAACCCAACTCAGCAGCCCTCCTGGCTGCCCACTGCCCTGGCACCCCAGAACAGTCCTCCCACCTGGGCTCTGTTTGCAAGACCACCCTTCCTTGGCTCGAGACCCTCGCACAGACCAGAGCCCCCAGGGGCTCAAATGCTGCCCGGCTGGCGGCAGCCACACCTGCGGGACTCGTGTTCGGGTCCATCACAGCCAGATGCAGGCCCAGGGCAGGACTGACCTGTCACGTACGGTTCCAGAGCCTTTGGTACCAGACTTCTGGCCACCTCGAGGTCCTCGGCGGAGCACCTTCCAGACTCCAGCCCACAGGCCAGGCCCATGCGCTTGAGCACTTCTATGTCGTCATGGATCTCGAACGTGTTGTCGAAGTTGAACAGATACTCGAACCTGCGGGGGGAGGCGCGTGAGCGGGCTTCCCGTGAGGCCACGCTCGCTGGCTAGGCCCGGCCACCCCAGCCATACCCACCCCCGGTTCTCGTGGCCGCGTCTCTGTACAAAACTTAAGAACTGAGAAACAAAGGACGAGAGCTGGGGCCAGTCTGTGAACGGCTGTCCATGGCCAGGCACTGCCCGGCACACAGACGTCCCGCAAGCAGTCACGCTGCCCGTGGCCGCCAGGGGACAGCACACGTTCCCAACAGTGCTAGCAACGAGCACTAAGGATGCTCCAGTGGGCTTCTTCCCGCGAGGGTGCCCGCCACGCACTTGTCATTGGAGATGCTGCAGTCGATGACCGTCTTCCTACTGGTGTTGACGATGATGAAGGGCAGGTGGATGACCGAGTTGGGCGGGGGCGGCCGTCGGGCCTGCTGCTCCGCCTGGCGGTTTCTCTGCACCAAGTTCTTGAAGGCAATTTGCTGAAAAAGAGGGGCAGGTGACCCGCATGGCCTGGCCACAGCAGGGAAGCCCTCCTCTCTGAGGGGTCCACACCACCCTGTGGATGCAGGGGCTGCTGGCACGCGAGACCAGGCCCCGGCTGGCCCTCTGCCCTGATGCAGGGAGAGACACAGAGAACACAGAGGCCTCGGAGGACATCCCCAGAAGGAGAAGGCAAGGAGTGGAGGGCACACGACGTGCCGCGGGTGCTGGCCACCTGCCATATCCAGCGGCAGGGCTGACCTCTGCAAAGGACCTTGGCCCTGGAACCAGGCCTTACCAAGGGCCCGGGTCCCAGGCTCCCGAAGCTGGGCTCCAGCTCCCCTTGCCGGCAGGTGCAGCCCGTGGGGAAGGTCACCCAGGCCACAGCAAGGGAGCAAACGCCTCCTGCCACTGGGCCAGGGCAGGAAGCCAGGCCTTGGAGGGGTCCCGCCTGCCCCCGACTTTTTTCAAGGTGGGATCCAGGCCAGGCCCAGCATTCCCGGGCTGCCTCTGGGCTGCGGGTCCTGCACACAGCCCTCAGGGAGTCACAGCTGGTCTTAGGCAGTAGACGTGGCGCTGCAGAGGGCTGAGGCCTGTCCCATTCTGGCCTCTGGGTCCCCCTGGACATCCACAGCCCCCCCCCCGCCGGCTGGTGGCCTTTCACCCTATGAGCCCCAACCTCTTCATCACTCCTCCTGGAAGGTTCTAGCACACCTTGTTCAGGGTATTAGCCTGCCCTACAAGCATGTCACCTTCACTGTCACCCCCATGGTAGACGCTGACCCTGTCTCTCCATGGGGAAGTCCAGCTCCAGGGCCATTTGGTACAGTCGCCAACCCGGCCATCTGTGCTGCCCAAATGGCAGGTACATCAGCCACGCTCCCCGGCTAAGCACCTGGTCCTCAGAACGGCCTGGCCCCCAAGGGGGTCCTGAGTGCTGCTCTGTGGGAACTGTGCCCTGGCAATCACGTCCCTGCTCCAAAGGAAGCTCACATGGCACAGCGCAGCCGCCACTCCTGGGGACGCGCTCGGTGTCATGTGTGAAGGTCCACGGGAGGACCTTCCGCAGAGCCTCCCAGCAGGGCCACCCGCACACGGGGTCGCGGTGCGGGAGCCGCTACCTGCAGGATGAGTTCCTGAAGCTGTGACTGCTTCTGCTTGATCCTCTCCAGCCGCCGCTGCCTCTCCACCTGCAGACGGAGGAGCGTCACCAGGCACGGCCTCCCCAGACCTCGCCAGAGTGACGGGCCCAGACGTGAGCCTGGCCCGCACCTGGAAGGACACCCAGCCCTCCTCTTCCTGGCAAGTGCTGCCAATGTGGACCGAGAGGCACACTGCTAGGGTCTGGACTGGGTGGCCGGCGGCGCTCACGCCCATGGCCAAGCAGCAGCGGCCGTATCAGCACATCCGCCACCAGACGCAAAACGACCCCACCACAGTCCAAGGCACCCGGGGTCATTCACAGGTGCAGGCGACAGGCTGCGCCTCCTGAGTGACCGGGACAGCAGTGGGGACCCAGCGGCAGCCCACCTCCAGATTCTGGCACTCCTGGGCAGAATTGGTGGGCAGTCCGATCCACTTGATCTCCTTCTTCTCCTTGGAGATGATGTTCATGGCCATGAGCACGTTCAAGGCATCGTAGACGCGCCGCCGTATGTTCTTCTGGTCGTAGGCCTGGGGACACAGCAACAGCCCTGCAAGCGCTCTGAGGAGTGCCGTGCTCGGGCCGTGTGGCCGCGGGAGGCACAGGCCCTGCCCTCTGGGAACTCGGACCCGGGCGCCTCTGAGGCTGTGCCGGGACCTCCTGCCGAGCGTGCAGCCTTACCGACTCGTTGGGCAGGATGTGGTTGTCGGCGGCGCTGAACTCGGCCACCAGCTCGTCGGCCACCTCGTTGTAGGAGGTGGTGCCCTTGCGCTGCACCTTCTCGCACACCTTCATGGAGAAGTGCCGCAGACCCTTCCCATGCTTCTCCCCTTTCCTGTTGCGTTTCCTTCAAACACACAGGAGCGGCCGTCAGTGTCTGCAGGCAGCCTGCGGTCAGACGGTCCCTCCGCGCCAAAGACCAGCGGCTGCGGGGTTCCCGCTGAGAACACAGGCAGGAGTCAGGATCCAGGGGACAAAGACTATCGGGGCAGACTGCAAACTGTGCCTGCAAATGTCAGGACGGGGCGGCACCCTCTGCTCTGTACCGACACCAAGCGCCACCTTGCCAAAGACGTCAGCTGGTGTCAGAGCACAGCCGCTGTGGTCTGGATTCAGGACTGCTAGGGCCAATCTCGGCAGGCAACCATGACTAAGGCAGATGCCTGGCCACAGCAGGTGCAGGCCACTGAGACAGGTTCCAGTTGGGAGGGGACAGCAAGTGAGTGGGGACCTCACATCACCACAGCCAGGCCCAAGGCGTTCCCACTAGCTGGTCTGGGGAGCCGAGGACTCTGCCCTAGGCCAACACGGGTGAGGCTGCAGAGCGGCTAGGCGTGGTGGCGGGGAGTCTCTGCGGCCAGGCGGGGAGAGCTCACCCGGCAGACCAGGGCGAGGACTCGGAGGGCTGGTTCTGAGACACGAAGTGGGTGCTGGGCGTGTGTGGGCTTCCCACCACGATGGCGCTGGAGGCCGCGGGTCTCTGAGGTGTGCCAATCACCTGCAGTCGAGAGGGTTCAGGGCCGTCAGAAGACACCCACTGTCATCCCCCCAGAGGGCACCACGGAGCCATGCACCACAACGCAGCCCCTCCAGACAGCCATGCTGCCACCCCCCAGCCACCTGCTCCAGCTACAGCACCAACAACTCCGCCCGCCGGGCAAGGAGGGCAGAGGCGCGGGCTTCGGGCAGGCAGCCCCCACACAGGTGCCCGGGTGTGAGGGGGTCCCCGCCCCCCGCTCACTTCACACAGGTCCACCCTTCCATGCGACCAAGAGACCAGAAAGAAAGAAGAGCTCCCTGGCCAGGGCCCCGTGCCCACCGTGGGACTGATCCACCCACACTCCACGGGGCAGCCTGAGGCCTCCAGCAAGGACAATGTCCGAGAGCGCTCAGGTCTCAGCAGCAGGGGAAGATGCCGGAAACCCCAGCGTCTTGCCACCCAGCTCAGCGGTCAGTGTTGAGGACCAAGATGGATGGTGCTGCCCGAGGCCCATGGGGCCAACGACCTGGGCCCCCCAAGCCTGGACTTGAGATCAGCTGATGACCCGTCCACCCACATGTCCAGCCCCCAGAAGTCTCGGACATACTGGGGACCCAGATGCCCAACAGCCACCACGTCAACTGAAAGAGAGTCATCTCCCAAGGAGCGTCCATGCTGTCCAGGACCCAGTCAGAGTGGAGACACATCTCTCATGAGGCTCCAAGACTCCGGGGCCAGGCAGGGGAACACGCCCAGGTACACGGGCTGCTCAGCTTGCCCCAGGCAGGCCACCGCCACCAGAGGCTCCTGGGAATGTCACTGCTGCAGGAGCCGACTCCCCTGGGGCCTCCCAAGCAGGCCAGGGGCAGCAAGGGCAGAAAGTCCAGCAGGTGCACAGCCGGTGCTCACTAAGGACCACCCAGGCCGGACAGGTCCCCAGCCTGGCCAGGACGGCCGGCAGTGTGGGGAAGAGCTGCCGGGTGCAGATCTGTGGACACTCCCATTCCTGCTCCAACTGCTTGGCGTGGCAGCCTCTGCGCGCTGTGCTGGAGGCCCCCAGAGTCACCCATCACGCAGGGAGCCGCACTGTCCGTGGAAGGAAGAGGCGCGGCTGGCCTGCCTCCCTGCACGCCCCGGGGCGCGGGCGCGGTAAGCCCTCCGGGATGACCGGGATGACCGGCACAGTGGGGCTGGGCCGCACAGGCCCTGGGCACTTTCCACCCTCGCAATCAGCCTGCTGCAGAGGGCAGGGAGAGGGGCTGCCAGACACGCCCTGGCTCTGTGGGGGGGCAGCGGAGACAAGAATAAAGGCGGAGGGTGGAAGACAGCCTGAGGGTGCCCGCATGAGACAGGAGGAGGAGGCAGGAAGGCGAGGCCGGGTGGGAGGGCAGTGGGAGGCTGCCTGGCCAGGCAGAGACGCGGGACAAGACACAGGCGCATCACCTGGGAAGAGCTGCCGGGATGGGACAGGGGGGCCACCTCCACGGGGCTTCCACCTGTACCCTGACCCGGTGGCCCCCGGAGCAGGGAGCTGCTTGGACACCTGCCCCCAGACTCCAGCTCCTTCGCCAACCAGAGGAGCTCTGTGCCCCGACCATCCCAGCCTCGAGGAGGAAAAGGGGCAAGTGACAGGTCACAAGAGGCACCTCTTCTCTGCTGTCCTCACTGTGGGGCTGGAACCGGCCAGAGAAGGCGACCCCACGTCCCACAGCCGCTGTGAGGCAGGCAGTGAAGGCGGGAAACTGCGCGGGGGACACGGGAGCCAGGCCCAGCCTCCGCCCACGGCGGGCGGCAGGACCTCCTGCGACCATGGCTCCAGGGCTGGCCTCACTCTGGCTGTGCGCTGCTCTGGTGCTGGGAAGGCGCCCAGGGTCTCAACACCATGTGGGCACGAGCGCTGAGCCGCTCCCAGCCACAGCAGCCCCTGAGCCTCACCAGTCAGAACCCGCCCCCGTCTGCGCTGAGGGATGCTCCAGACAGCAAACCCTCGCACAGACGCCGGGAGAGCAGCACAGAGGCAGTCAGGGACACCAGGACGCTGCTCCTCCAGACCCTCTCCTTGGCCAGGCACTGCCCACGGTGCCGAGGGAGATCCTGCCTGAGCCGAGAGGGCCCACGTCACCCTGTGCCTGAAACCTGCCCCACCAGAGCCCTAAACGCCCCACACCATCAGGCCCCTCCAAAGGTGCCACCGGCTCCCGGAGCCCGACCTCAGAGAACCCAGCGCTGACGTGGCGCCAGAGACCCAGCGCCCGTTTGGCTTTGCTGCCATCTCCCTGAAGCCGTCAGTGTGTGGAAAGGGCCAGGGACCACTCGCAGCACGTGAGCATTAACCCACGACATCTGGCAAAGCCCAGCATGTGGCTCCGATGCCCCCCAGCTCCATGAAAACACTGACGGCTGGGCCGAGGGTTCAAGCTGCATACACAACAAGCGACCCACTAGCTGGCTCGGGAGCCCGAGCCGTCTGCAGGCTGAGTCCTGCTGAGCCTCTCGCGCACCGCTGGCTGAATCACAGGCACTACGAAGGGAAACGGAGATGAGATTTCCAGATTTCACAAAGACGGCTTCACTGAGCAGAAGCTTCGACACGCCACAGCCTGAGGCAGGACCTCAGCATCACCCTTGGTGACCACCGGGCGGCAGCGAGGGCAGAAGCCCTGCAGGACCCCTGTGAATGCCCAGCTCAGCACGTCCCCAGTGGCTCTTCTGCACTCAAACTCCAGGCCACGTGTAGGTCATCAGGGACCAGCGGACAGCACCCAGCTAAGATCAGAGTCCCCAGTGTGCGGTCTGCTCTGAGGAAGTACGATCACACTGTAGGGTGGGACGGCAGCCATGCGGTCCTGCTGACCTGCAGGGCGGGGCGCTGGGAGGCTGGGGCAGGGACACCAAACACAAGCACCCTTCCCACCAAGAGGACCAGGACAGCAGTGGGGACAGAGCTCACAGGTCAGGTGGGGCACCGCAGAACGAGGCAGGATCCGGCCAGGGACAAGAGACAAGCGTGTCACAGAGGCCCAGTCTCAACAGGAGGCCCAGGGTGGAGACGGAGCCCAGCTGCCAGGGCTGCGGCATCTCAGGACCAGGCAGGAGCCTGTGGCCGCAGGTCGGAAGCCCGTCCTGCCTTTGGGCAGCTGAACTCTGGGTGCAGGTAACCCTGCCACCCCGAGGCTGCCCCCAGCCCTCTTCTGACAGCGGAGGCCGCGGGGCTGCTTGGCTCTGCAGGGCTCCTCATCCTAGACCACAGCCCAGCCAGGGAAAGGACAGGCTGGCACCCTGCTCTGCCCGAGCAGAGGGGAAAAGCCAGTCCTGCTGTCCCGGTCTGCGGAGCACAGGGTGGCCAAGGAGGAAGGCCAGGCCTGTCATGCCAAAGCTCCTCCAGCACCCAAGGAACGCCCTTGGCTGAGCTCAGATGGACGGCAACCACAGCAGGAAGCTGGCAGAGGCCACCCTGGGCCAGGGTCGTGGCACCTGCTGGGCCTCCAATACCACATAGGCAGGGGCCGTCCCCAACAGCAGGCCCGGGCGGACGAGGCTAGGCGCAGCACCACAGCTGGGGAGGGAAGCAGGCCCCTGCCCACCCCATGCCTTACCACTTGCTGGGCGATGTTGACGTTGGACTGTCCAAAAGTTTTCGGCAGGAGCTGCTTCCCGAGTGTGCTCACTGTGGACGGGTGCACGGCCACCAGGGACACCACGCCTGTAGCACAGGGGTCAGGGTTAGGATCAGGTCAGGGCTCCCTGTGCTGAGCCAAGCCATGGGTTTCTGAGGACCCTGTGTTGAGGAACTCTCCGCACTCTTACATACAAGACCTGGACTGAGCCAAGATGCAGACCATGGCCAGCTCCCAGTCATGAGCGCCTGTCCCCTTCACAGTGTCCACTACTACTGCTCAGCAGTCTGGCTGAGGGTCCCAACTCCCAGCACTCCCAGCGGCTGCTCCAGACCGACACCAGCAGCCCTGTGGTCTCAGGAGAAAGGGGATTCACAGGGTTTTTAATGGCTTGGTTTGGTGCTGGGGATTGAACTCAGGGGCTTAACCACTGAGCAACATCTCCAACCTCTTTTTTTGAGACAGAGTCTCCCTAAGTTGCTTAGGGCCTCCTAAGTGGCTGCGGGGCTCTGAACTTGAGACCCTCCTGGCTCAGCCTCCCGAGCCGATGCTTGTTTTCATCTGGAGGTACAAATCAGACCGCTCACGGGTTTCTTTGGTAACAGGCTGCCAGAGTCACATGGGGGCCGCGGGGCAGTCAGGTGGCCCAGGAGCCCACACACCACAGACCCTGCTGCTCAGAGCATGAGGCGCACCACAAAGTCCTTCCAGGGTCACGCCAGGCAGAGCTTCTGCATGGTCCGAGGCGAGGATTTGCTAACAAGGACTCCAAAAACCCAAGGGTGGGGTCCTATGACTGCTGCCCACGCTCCTTGAAAATCTCCAGGTTTAAGGCATCCAATCAGGTGAGCACAAGGATCAGTGCTTTGGCAAAACCATTTTAACTAAACACCATGAAAATTTCAAGTTTAACAGTTGTTTTTAAAATTGATTTTATCAAGGACACTTAAGGTGCAGGATGTGCAGTCACGGGACCCATGTGGACACACGTGGACAGCACAGGCCACAGTGCTACAGCTTCACCCCCGCAGCACCCACTTCTGGGGCTCAGTGGCAAGAACAGCTGAATCCACGGTAGATCCAGGCTCTCATACCACACGTACCAGAGGCCACGGTCTCCACGTCCCCGAGGCACCTGTGGCGCCCCATGGCCTCCCCGCCCTGTGAGCGCTTTTCCTCTCTGCCTCCGTCCTCTGCCATTGGGACTCCACAGAGACCCCACCATCCCCCGAGGCTGAGGTTCTGCTTAGCTCGGGAGGAGCCCCTGGAGGTGTCCAGGCTCACCCAGGCGAAGCCGTCCACACGCCTGTTTCTGGACCGAAGAACATTTACGTTTGAAGTCACTTGATCCTTGGTCACTCACTGACACTTGGGCTGGCTCCTACCCACGGCAGGGACACCAGGAGAGGGAGCGCCTACTCTGAGCACATGCCGAGGACAGGCTGCCAGTGAGGGCAGCTACACCTGGATCCTTCAGGGCCAGGTACGTCCTCCACCAGGCCTGGGCCTATAGCCTGAGCTCCCCACCCTCGCCAGCGCCCACCATCCAACCTGAGGCAAAGGCCACCCTGACGGAGGCTCGCAGGGAAGAGGCACCGCACTGTGGCCAGACACACGTAGGGACCTCAGCACCGTGGCCAGACACGCATAGGGACCTCAGCACTGTGGCCAGACACATGTAGGGACCTCAGCACCGTGGCCAGACATGCGTAGGGACCTCAGCACTGTGGCCAGACACACGTAGGGACCTCAGAACTGTGGCCAGACACGCGTAAGGACCTCAGCACTGTGGCCAGACACATGTAGGGACCTCAGCACCGTGGCCAGACACGTGTAGGGAACTCAGCATCGTGGCCGGACACGCATAGGGACCTCAGCACCGTGGCCAGACACACGTAGGGACCTCAGCACCGTGGCTGGACACGTGGGGGATCTCAGCACCATGGCTGGACACACGTGGGGGACCTCAGCACCGTGGCCAGACACGCGTAGGGACCTC